ACCCGCCGGACCCGCCGAGCCCGTCCGAGGCCGTGTCGCCCAAGCAGGAGCGCATCATCGAGCTCAGCCGCGAGTTCCCCTCGCCGCCGCCGCCGCTCCCGGCGGCCGAGGCCCTCGAGGACGCGGAGCCGCCCGACGGCTGCGAGGTCCTCGCCGCGCCCGCGCGCGACGGCGACGACGCGCCCGCGCCCGCCCCGACGCCGCCCGACGCCGGGCCCGAGCCCGTCCCCAAGAGCCCGTCGACCGACGAGCCGGCGTCGCCCAAGGCGCGCGCCGTCGACGACCTGCCGCGCCGCGAGGACAGCCTCGCGAACCTGGCCTCGCTCGAGCGGCAGCCCGTGAAGATCGTCGTCTCCGTGCACCGCGCGCGGCAACTCTTCAACGTCGGCGCGCCGGCGAAGGACATGAACCCCTACTGCATCGTGTCCTACGCGGGCTTCGAGATCAAGTCGCGCCACGAGCCCGCGACCGCGGACCCGGTCTGGAACCTCGACGCGATGCTCGACGTGCTCGTGCCCTTCCGCTCCGACGACGACTCCGTCGTGCGCCTCTACTTCTTCTCCGCGCGCACGGTCTTCGCGGACCGCATGCTCGGCAAGCGCGGCCCCGCCGCGTCTCCCTTCTTTTCGTTCCGTCGCTCGACCGCGCGCGGCCCTCGCAGGCGCGAGATCGCGCTGTCGACGCTCTTCGACCCCGCGAAGCACTCCGTCGAGGGCACGCACCAGCTCATGCGCCGGACCCAGCTCCCCATCGTGCCCTGCGACACGAGCGAGCAGGACGGCCTCAAGCACACGCAGTTCAGCGGCACGCGCCAGGTCCAGCGGAAGTTCAACCCCTTCCACGACAACAAGTACCTCTACGGCCACGATCTCGGCACGGCCGACCTCTCCGTCTTCGCCATATGCTCGGACTTCCGGTCTTAATGTTTTACTTGCACACTTACCAATCGTCGGCCGGAACGCAACATTAACTTATTGAACCTAGAAGTTTACTTTCGAAAAAGGGTTGGACGTCGTCGATGATGGTCGCACGATCTCTGATGCTGGGTTTGGCATGTTCCAGGCCAGGGGGAGAGAAACTGAGCACACTTCGCAATGGCAATTCGGGGTCGAGCATCCCAAATCTTCAGCCCGCTCGTCTCGGGAGCACGCAGAAGCCGAGATCATTTTCCCCTCTCTCTCCGCGCGCAGGCGGTCCCCGCGGCGAGGTTCTGGGTGCTCGAAGGTACTATGCCAAGCGAACCCCTCTCTCGTCGCCCCGATTCCGGCCGGCAGCCGCGCGGGCATAGTACCTTCGGGCGCCCCAGACCCCAGACGCAGCCCCGCTCCGCCGACCAACCACATTGTCTCCATCAAAAGACGACGTTCAGCCGAGCGATACATTTCACTGCAACTTGGTCCGTCGATTAGTAAGTGTTGCACTTTTTGGTGAAGTTTATTGAAGCTTGTGGCAATCGATGCTCTCAAAATCACGCACGGCCTGACGGCCCAGATGAAGAGCAAGTAAACGAGTAGATAGATGAGCGCCGCCGAGATTGAGCTCTCGGCCATGGACACGACGTCGCTGGCGCTCGAGGTGCGCGCGCTGCGCGCCGAGCTCGCCGAGGTCCGCGCCAAAGGCGAGGGACAGCAAGCGCAACCCGTGTGGTTCGCGCGAGGGGCGCCCTGGGAGCTGCTGCTGGTCGTCGTGCTCTGCAACATCTACTGGCACGACTGGGCCAACGCCTACGTCGACGACAAGCTCGGGCTGCGGCGCGTCGAGCTTCGCGGCTCGTCGAGCA